GCCTTTTGACCTCCTGCTCTTGTTCCCAGACAAAACCTCCACACTCATCTTCGACTGGCAGAACTCTGGAGCCCGCATCATCTGAAGCTCCAACCCCGCTCGTCTCTCAGCCTCTCCCCTGGCCAGAACCACCTCCAGCCGCCCACCTAACCCTCCTGGACCTTCCCAAGCTCAGCTTCCTCCACGTCTCACTCCTGGATCTCAGTCCCTGCTACCCAGACCGGACCACTCCTCCCTCAAACCAGTTCCCACCTCTCCAGACCGTAAGTCCTCTGCACAAGTCTGATTTCCTGATCCTTCCGCAAATTGGATCTAACTCCAATCTGTCCACAGTTTTCCCGCACCAGCCTCCCTGCACAAGAACTCAGCTTCGTTACGCTGCTCCCTTGGTTTCCCTTCAATAAATCCTTATTTAAACCTTTTAAAACCGTCTCCGATCTGATTCTGTATGTCGTGGGTTAGTTTTCTTCACCACAACATGACAGCTATAAATTATTTTCAGCCATATAGCTCTCAATTTGTCAATAAAAAAGATTTTCTGCAAACCTGCATTTTCCCTGTTTTCACAGTGTAAAGAATGAGTTGTTTACATCTTACTTATGAACCATAGAATGTGAAATCCCATAAAAAAATGAAATATCAATCTGATGGATCTTTGAATGTTTTAACCAGAAGATCGGAACTTTTTATTGCAGGGATTGAACAACACTTCGTATTAACTCAAAGAAAGAGAGAGAGTCAGGTTTATAATAGTCAAGAGATTTATTTCTAAACAATTTAAACAAGACTAACTTCAAACACTATGTGTACTGATGGAACTAAGGTGGAATAAGACTGATAATGGTGTATGTGTGTAATGTCTTATCAGAACCAGCGGATCCGGAGAAGCAATTAGTTCTGAGTGGGAGTGAGATGGTTTGCTCTAAACTACGGTTGGACATTCATAACCACATGAGACGCCATCTGTCTGTCTACGTACCCCAGGGGAAGCCTCCGTGTAGATCCAGAATGTTGAGGTACTCTTGGACCCTCTTTGGAACCAAAGCCGGTAGAAAGGCAGTGGTTGCTGACCAAGCCAGTCTTGGAATGCTTCCAGGTCACGACAGTTATCATTGGCATCAGCGAGACCCTGAAGGGGCCGTGAGGTTCAGCTTTTATTCTGAAGGAACCTTTGCAGTCAGGTGTAACGTGCAACAGATTTTATCCAGCTTGTCGAGGTTCTTTTGCTTAAGAGGAAGTCCGGAAAGCCTGTCCAGGACTTCTCTAGAATGCGTTGAACTAAAGAAAAGGTGGCGTGGGATAGTTTTTATAACTGTCATATTTTGGTTTACTGGCGAATCAGAATTTGACAAGCAAAGGAGGGATTATACAAACACCACAGAAAACCACGCCTCGCTTCAGAAACGAAGGTTCTGATTGGATCAGACAAAGGAAATGTGTTGTGTGACTAACATTACGTGTCATCAGTGACTAGTGCAAATGTTTAAGATTATATTACTTGTAAAATACTACTGATCACAGAATTATAATATCAAGTAATTAACATTGTCATTTCACAGATTGATCGAACGTTGGGCTTACATTATTATTGGTAACAACAAATGTTATTTGATTATTATTTTAAAAGAGTTCTCTTTCTTCTCTTGAGCTGTAGAGGGAGGCAAGCGGTTTAGATGAGCAGAGTGCATGAAAGACCTTGGCCCATATCTTGTACATCAGGCTTGTGTCAGAAACTTTATGTCTCTGCTCGAGCAGAGCAAATAGAGCAAGACCTTTAGGTCAAAAATGTAACGGGGTGACTCGAGCGGGGCGAGAGTTTGGATGTGGCGTGGCTTTTAACCCAAGCGCGGAGTGACTGACGCCGGGTTGAATGGACACGCTGTTTAATCTGGGAGCCGGGTGCGCAGCTGTATGGTGACACAGCTGAACATGGCGACTCCTGGTCTGAAGCTGATCTGTACGAGCAGGCAGGATTCTCAGATCTGGCTGGTCTGATCTGGTTGGTCTGATCTGAACAGGCTTCGTGATCAGAGCTGATCTGGTTAAGACTCTAGTAAGTTCGGTGAGAATGATGACTGAGTGAGCCGGCGTTGTGCGGCACTTCCTTATATAGGTTTGGCGGGTGACGTGAAACGGAAGCCTGGCGCTAGGGATGTTGGGTAATGGAGTCTGAGCGGCTCTGCGGTGCCTCCCTAGAGGAGGTTGACGGCTGAGAGGGAGGTTGTGTGACAGGACCCCCCACCCGAGGGACGGCCCCAGAAGTCCCAGAGCGGCGAGCCCAGAAGTCCGTTATGAGAGAGGGGTCCAAGATGACCCTCGACGGTTCCCATGAGCGCTCCTCCGGTCCGTAATCCGCCCAGTCCACCAGGTATTGCCATCCCCTGCCACGGCGACGGGCATCCAGCAGGCGGCGCACAGCATAAACACCATCACCGCACACCCCACGAGGCGGTGAAGCGGGCACAGGGGGGGGGGCGAGAGGAGAGGTCCTGACCGGTCTCAGCTGGGAAACGTGGAAGACGGGGTGAACCTTGAGAGACCTGGGCAGGCGGATGCGGTAAGCCACGGGGTTAATGACCCTTTCCACGGGGTAAGGACCCAGAAACCGTGGGCTGAGTTTCTTGGAGCCGGCGGGCAGACGCATGTTACGAGTAGACACCCACACGTTATCGCCCGGCTGAAAGGTCGGACCAGGCCGGTGGCGGCGCTTATGCTGGCGTGAGTACTCCGTGTTAGCTCGTGTGATGGCAGCCCGAGCACGGATCCAAGCGAGACGGCAACGTCGAACTAGGAGCTGGGCCGCAGGAACCTCCGTCTCCGGTTCCTGGTGAGGGAACAGAGGGGGCTGGTAACCATTACACAGCTCGAACGGGGAAAGACCAGTAGCCGAGGAGACGTGGAGGTTATGGGACATCTCCGCCCACAAGAGATGCTTTGGCCATGTGGTCGGTTGGGAAGAGGCGAAGCAGCGCAGGTACCGCCCGAGCTGCTGGTTGGCGCGTTCAGTCTGTCCATTGGTCTGGGGATGGTAGCCAGACGAGAGGCTGCTACTGGCACCAACCAGCCGGCAGAAGGCTTTCCAGAACCTGGACATGAATTGGGGCCCTCTATCCGAGACAATGTCCTGAGGGAACCCATGGAGACGGACCACCTGCTCCAGAAGGACTTCGGCCGTCTGCTTAGCGGTGGGCAGGCCGGAAAGAGCCACCAGGTGGACCGCCTTGGAAAACCTGTCCACGATGGTCAGGACGGTGTCGAGCTGGTTGACGGGAGGCAACCCCATGACGAAGTCCAGGCCTATGTGGGACCAGGGTCTGTGGGGAACAGGAAGAGGATGGAGGTCGCCAGCCGGGGGTTGGTTCAGAGTCTTGGAACGGGCGCAGGTGGAACATGCAGCCACGTATTCATGGACATCCTTAGCCATGGAGGGCCACCACAGGGCCCGACGTAGGAACTGGAGGGTGCGGGTCTCCCCCTGGTGGCCAGCCAAACGGGAAGCATGTCCCCATGCTAGGGCCTCAGACCGGCAGGTGGATGGCACATACAGTCGGTTGGAGGGTGTGTCAGCCAGTGCGGGCTCGGTGGGTAGAGCAGCTCGGATGGCGTCCTCCACTGGCCAGTGAAGGGCTGCAACGAACCTCTGGGCAGGTAAAATAGGCGGTGGGTCCTTGACGGGTGCAGATTGGGCGTGATGGCGGGCCGCCAGATCCTTATCCATGAAACAGTCCGCTGCTCCAGAATCCAAAAGCGCCTCCAGCTCAACGGGCCCCTGGGCGAGATGAAGTGTTACTGGGAGCATGGTGCGGGTCGAGGGGGTTCCGGCCGACCCAAGTAGGACCCCTCTGCTGCTGCCTACTTGGAGACGGCGTTTCCCAGCCGGGAAGGACAAGAGAAGCGCCGATGGCCCGGTGCGCCGCAATAGGCGCATAGCCTCTCCTTATAGCGCCTCTCCCTCTCCTCTGGGTTTAAGTGTCCCAGCTGCATGGGCTCATCAGTGAGTGGGCTGACTGAGCGGGACCGATCGTTGGTTGCCGCTGCTGCGGGCTCAGCAGGTCGGCGCGTAAAGAGGCGCAAATCCATTTGGAGAGCGAGGTCGGCTGCCTCGTCCAGGGTCCCGGGGGTCTCCTGTCCGATCATCCCGTCTCTGATGCGGGAGGAGAGCCCCTCCAGGTAGATCGCCTTTAGCGCGTCGTCTCCCCATCTCAGCTTGGCCGCCTTGGTCCGGAACCGAGACGTGTACTGCGCTACCGTCTGGTTTCCTTGCCGGAGCTGGAGGAGTTGCGTCTCCGTTGACGTCTCGCCACTGGGGGGAACGAAAACCCTCCTGAGTTCGTTCACGAACATATCATAGTCATTGCAGACTTCCGATTTCTTATTGTACATGGCGGCTGCCCACTCCTGAGCTCGGCCAGTGAGGAGGGAGACCAGCATTGCCACCCGGGAGCGGGGTGTGGCATATCGGTGTGGCTGACATTCGAACGTCATGGCTAACGTGGCTAACAGTCCTTCAGGTGAGCCATGCGTTCCATCCCATTTCTCCGGGAGGCTGAATACAGGTTGGTCTCGGTCTCTGGAGGTCTGCTGCTGCTGCGCAGCAGAGAGCTGGAGAACCACCGTGGCGATGGAATCCACCTTGGCGGCCAGGCGTTCCACCGTGACTTCCATCCGGTTGACCTGAGCACGCAGGTTATCAAACTCCGCTGGGTTAACTGTGGACTCAGTCATCCTGTAACGGGGTGACTCGAGCGGGGCAAGAGTTTGGATGTGGCGTGGCTTTTAACCCAAGCGCGGAGTGACTGACGCCAGGTTTAATGGACACGCTGTTTAATCTGGGAGCCGGGTGCGCAGCTGTATGGTGACACAGCTGAACACGGCGACTCCTGGTCTGAAGCTGATCTGTACGAGCAGGCAGGATTCTGAGATCTGGCTGGTCTGATCTGGTTGGTCTGATCTGAACAGGCTTCGTGATCAGAGCTGATCTGGTTAAGACTCTAGTAAGTTTGGTGAGAACGATGACTGAGTGAGCCGGCGTTGTGCGGCACTTCCTTATATAGGTTTGGCGGGTGACGTGAAATGGAAGCCTGGCGCTAGGGATGTTGGGTAATGGAGTCTGAGCGGCTCTGCGGTGCCTCCCTAGAGGAGGTTGACGGCTGAGAGGGAGGTTGTGTGACAAAAAACAGGACAATTCATCACGCTACAACAGGTTCTTATGACTTGCAAATGGCAAAACTGAACTGGAAGAACATGACTCACTGTAGTTTGAGTTTGAAGTACTTTTGACACCATGAGCAGCTCGTCCCATAGCTGAATCATAGCTGTCAGACCTGTTCCATCAGACCAGCCCTGGGCTCTGTCTCTCGGCTGGATAGGGGTGTAAGATCTGGTTGTAGAGGCACAGTTTCCCCTGAGTCTTCCACTTCCCCACCAACACAACCCTGAGACACACCAGCCAGTCTGAAGACATTTGTCCCTGCAGTGAACCCTGACAGCTTCTGTGCCAGGGCTCAAGATGCCTTTCTGAGCCTACCCGCCCTTTTCCGTCTGGCTGATGCTGAAGCAATATGCTTGGTGCCAGCAAGTTCAGTCAGAAAGCCCAGACTCTGGGATGGAAGACTGTAAACGTGAAGTCCACAAAAAAGACACGGAAGTGGACGGAAACCTTCGGGTGGGAGGGATTCAAACTGCACCAGCATGAGCCTCTCACCAGCCCGGCCCTGTAAATAGTCTGCAAGAATGCAGCTCAGCGAAGCTCCGAAAACATCCACTCGGCGTGAAGATGGAGGGTAGCTTCTTCCTAACACTTCCCCCGCATCTCTGTTCACCACCCCGTCATTGCTGAGGGCTCCCCACTCTTCAGCCCGGGTCCAGGTGGCCTTGGTTAGGACTAACATCACTTTACCCCCTGTCTTTGCAGCTGGTCCAGTCGGGAATGGAGCCATGGCACAGGGCCCAAGGCACTTAGCTCAGCCTGGCTCCAGAGGTCCAGCGACACAGTGAAGCCCAGGGCCTGAAGAGATGAGCCCAGGTGACACAGCATGCCTGGAAGACGCCTGTCATCATCAGACGGGTACAGCAGGACCACATGGCCTCCACCCACAGCACCTGCACACAACAAAATATTCAATTATGGCATCTGTGATCAAAACATCAGTCACACCACAGCAGGGAACGGGGTTGTGATGACACAAAAGATAAAACAAATACAATTTTAAGAAAGATTTATTTCAGCTGTCAACAACAACAAGAAGAACAATATTTCTTTTTATGTGTTACACTTTCCACGCCGTCCAGGACTCTGTAAAATGTCAAATATGTCATTTTCAAAACTGATGGATTTTTCTTGAGGCTTTCTGCTGACTCAGTCACATAAATCTGATGAAGTTTTTCAACTTAATGAAAAACGTTTACCTGCATATTGTTGGCTCTAAAACTATCTACGAAAAATACTTTAATAAACAAAATAAAATACCTTCATATCTGACTCAAGGGACTGATTCAAAACAAGAACATTTTATTTTACTTTCTTAAGAAAAACCCAAAACAACGCACAGCAAAATGCAAACTTCCACCAACAGAAAAACAAAAATGAGAAACAAGTAGACATTTGTACTTTTCTACTGATGAATGAACTAAATAATGAACTGTGTCCACAGAATTGTACCTTTTACATCATCTTCTTTCAACCACTTCCAAACGTAGCCTGGAGAGAAAAGCAGAATTTGCAATAAGATGCTTTAATAGAGAAAGTTTAGAAAGATCAAAGGAGAGGCTCACCTTTTAGGACACCTTGTACTAAATAGGCTCCAAGTATGGCCAAACATATCAGCATTAATCCGATGAGAAGTGGCAGGATCCATCTCACTCGAGATGCTGGAAAAACTAAATATGAAGCTTTTATTATGTATGGAAATAACATCATTAAAATATGCATAGACATTAAAGTATACATCAAATACTCACGGTTCTTAAGATAAACATTAAATTGTTTTAGTTGGATTTAGTTTTGCAGAAAACAAGAATAAATCTTACCTGTAAAAGGACACTGACACGTTGTGCTGCATTTTTTTCTAAGGCGTCTGCAAAAGAGAAACGATAATAACAGAAAAACAATATGTTCTAATTGTGAAGCAAACAAGCTCAACATGCATCAACAATAGCCTCGCGGATTTCCTTTTACCTTTGTGATGTTTGAAAGGACAGTATCTTCCTCTCTTGTCTTCTCCATCCCACCAAAACAGCACAAAGCATTTTGTATTAGAAATAAATCTTTAAAAATCTTGTTTCTTGTCAGTCGATTTGTCAGTTACCTGGAAGCACAAGCATGGTGCCACAAAGACTTGTGAAATGTTGATTTCTCACACAGAGCATCTGTGCAGTTGGACCAGTTCAGTTTACTGTAGAGGTGAACACCCAGGTACTCAAAGGTATCCACCACCTCAGTGTCTGCACCCTGGATGTTTAGTGGTGAGTGAGGAGGAGTGTTTTTTTTTTTATTCAATCACCATTTACTTTGTCTTACTGGTGTTCAAGCAAAGGTGGTTACGCTCACACCAGTCCACAAAGTCTATGACGACTGACCTATCTCATTCACCCCAGACCTACAGCTGACAATGGCAAAGTCATCAGATAACTTTTGAAGGTGACTGCTGCCGGTGTTGTAGGTGAAGTCCAAGGTGTAGAAAGTGAATGAAAAGGGTGAGAGCACCATACCCTGTGGAGCTCCCTACTGCACACAACCACCTCAGAGGTACAGTTTTGCAGCCTCACGTACTGTGGCCTGTTGGTGAGGTAGTTGGACTAGAGTTTAGTCCATGCAGTCAAATATCTGTCCACTCCTGCTCCCCTCATCTTCTGCTGCAGTAGACACAGCTTTGTTTATTGCTTTTGTGCATACATACATAATAAAATAAAACAGATTGTAATAAAGATTATATTATAGTTGTAGTAATCAATATGAATAAATAGTTCAATTTTTTTAATATATTTCAACATTATTATCAGTGTGCTGGTGAAGGTTCTCAGTCATCCAGGTCATGGTAATCCAAAGAGTTGAAATGAAGGCAACTGGACCTCTTTGGTTTCTCCTTGCTTCTCATCCGAGGAGCTTTGTCAAACATCTTCAAGAAACCAAAGAAGCCCAGTTGTTTTCATTTGAACCTGTCATGGTCTGCGTTCTGCGTCTCCCTCATGTGTCTCCTTGTGTTCTCCATCTCTCTCCAGGTTCTACCCTTAGGTTTCTGTGCCCCTTTAGGACTTCAGCTCCCTCCTGGTTTCCCTCAGGTTTCCCCTTTGTGATTTCAGGTTTTGTTATCCCATCCTTGTTAGTGTTTTCTTCTGTCTAGTTTTCAGGTTTATTAGTTCACTTATCTTTAGTTCTCTACAAATAGATTTTTACCTAGTCTTTTCCCCCATCAGTTAATTAGTCTCACCTGATCTCTTCTGCTCTCACTCCCCACACACCTGTCACCTGTTTCCCTGATTATCTCCCTTGTGTATATAACCCTGTCTGTGTCCCAGTGTGGTGGTTGGCCCATTGTTCGTGTCAGCATTGTTTTGTCCTCCCCCATCTTAGGTCTCTAGGTTTTGGCTTCGTGGCCCACTAGGTTTTCTTTGGACTCACCATCTTAATAAAGATGTTTAATTTTACATCCTTTCCTGCTTCTTGTCGTTCTGGGTATCTGCACATTGGGTCCTACTCCTCCAACCCTCAGCATGACAGAACCCTTTGGATTATGATTAGTGTTATTTTATATTTGAGTCTTTAAATGGTTAATAGTTCAGCTTGACCTGATTAGGTGCACGAGTGTGTGAACTAATGTGTATGTATGCTAATGAGTCTTAATATTTTCACTGAGATGTTTCAGAGTGCTGCCCTTCCTCAGAACAGGCTGCATTTGGTCTGCACGCACGGTGAAGGTGGGTTCACATCAGATATCTCTGTCTGTATTTACTCTGAGGTGTGACAGACTTCAGATGTGTTTTAATTGCAGCTGTGCCGTGGAATAAAGCCATTAGAGTTGAAAGCAGACCCTTGTGCTTGATTGAGAAAAGAAAAAAGGGGATTTCATTCCAGCCCTACATGACCTTAATCTGTAGGATTAGGCCGTCAGGACGTTCACTGCAGGGTATTTGTGTCTGTGCCATGCACATCTTTGTGAGTGCATGCGTGCTTTCTTTTCTTGCTTTTTGTTTTCTTTTGATGTGAATTCTGCATTCAGTGGTGTGTTTTTGCATGACAATAAAGGGGTGACTGAGTTTGACGGCTCTGGCATTCAGGGTCACATGTTCTGCAAGCGAGGTGGGTGGGAGGTGCTCATGTGTTAAGAGCTAAAGCCGCTTGGGCCAGATGAAGATGGCTCTCAGGCTCTCTGCCAATCATAGCCCAGCCAACAAGCTACTCTCACTGACAGGGCCTGATCACGGTGAGTTAGGTAATGATTCATACCGTCCACACCAACAAGCAGTGACACAAGCGAAGAAGAAGTCAAAGTAAAGTACCAAGTGATTGCTGCTTTACCTTAAATTCATTCATTCATTCATTCATTCATTATTTGTCATTGTCGTCTTCCTCTGCTTATCCGGGTCCAGGTCGTGGGGGCAGCATCCCAACTAGGGAGCTCCAGACCGTCCTCTCCCCGGCCTTCTCCACCAGCTCCTCCGGCAGGACCCCAAGGCGTCCCTGGACCAGACTGGAGATGTGACCTCTCCAACGTGTCCTGGGTCGACCCGGGGGCCTCCTGCCGGCAGGACATGCCCGAAACACCTCCCCAGGGAGGCGTCCAGGAGGCATCCTGACCAGATGTCCAAACCACCTCAGCTGACTCCTTTCGATCCGGAGGAGCAGCGGTTCTACTCCGAGTCCCTCCCAAATGTTCAAGCTCCTCACCCTATCTCTAAGGCTGAGCCCGGCCACCCTATGGAGGAAACTCATTTCGGCTGCTTGTATCCTCAATCTCGTTCTTTCGGTCATCACCCAAAGCTCATGACCATAGGTGAGGATTGGGACGTAGATTGACCGGTAAATCGAGAGCCTGGCTTTCTGGCTCAGCTCCCTCTTCACCACAACAGATCGGCTCAGCGTCCGCATCACTGCAGACACTAAACCAATCCGCCTGTCGATCTCCCGATCCCTCCTACCCTCACTCGTGAACGAGACCCAGAGATACTTAAACTCCTCCACTTGAGGTAGGACCTCCCTCCCAACCCAGAGTTGGCAAGCCACCCTTTTCCGGTGGATTCATTCATTCATTCATTCATTTCAGTGGGTAAGTGATGAGCAACACCTAGGACATGCAGCCTCCTTTTTGCAAAGCAGCAGAGAAACCACGGAGTTCTGTTTTATTTACTGTTTAACAGAATTACTGGAATCAAAGAAATTCTACAACCTCTAATCTCTAGAATTAATTGATTTTTATTTTGTTTGTTCATCACTTTAATCTTCAGTCACAAATTTCTAAGAACTTGAGATTTCTTCCAACGAAGAGCAGACAACCGTTTTTAATAAATGAAACCGCCATGTGCTGTTTACTGCCTGCTTCGTATGATCAATCAACTAAAATAAAAAGAGCAAAGTAGAGTATTAAGCAGCTAATGAGGCAGATACATGTGAGATGTTGGAGACCAAAGCAAAGCTAGAACATTTAATGTCCACGATGCATGAAATCATGAGTATCCAGTCACTTCTAGAGTTCTCCAAAAAAAAGTTTTGTAATTTAGAGAACATCTCAGAAACACATCCAGGGATATATTAGGAAATAAAAAAGTTCACTATTCTCACAATGTTGCACAAAATTACAAAAGTCACATTGAAATCAACTTCATTTAATCTCTATCTATCCATTTCCTTTGACTTAACCAAGATCAGGTTGTGGAGGTAACAGATCCAGAATTAAAACTCAGACATCCCTCTTCCTGAGGACACTCTCCAGCTTCTCCTGGATCCCGAATGTTTTTCCAGAACAGACCCTCTAGCAAGTTCTGGGTCTGGTCTCCTCTCAGAGGAAAGTACTCAGAAAGCAACCAGGAGTAGGTGGAGGAATGCAGCGCTATTATGAAGCCTGATTTATACTTCTCTGTGAGCTCCGCAACGGAGAGACGCACATGGAGTGTCGGAAACTTCAACGCAGGCAGCGGAGCGTTGCAAAGCTATTCCCCACCGGGACAACAGAGGGCATAGCACTTTTCTGTGGTGTCCTGCCGCCATAACACTCATGTATCTGGTCCACAATAGCACATTTAGGGATGGTCAACATTGGCTTTTTTACAGATATCCGATATTATCTAACTCTTCATTTCCAATACCGATATAAACCGATACCGATATATGTGAGGTCCCCCTAATAAAAAAAGAAATAGTTTATGTAACCAACATCACAAACCTCCTGTCATGCACACTTATCTATGAAAAATATGGCAACTGCTTCATTTTCAAGTTAGGCAATGAAAAAAAATTGCCATATTTATTTTTTCTCCAATAGCAGCTGAATCATAAAATGTAAACATAACACTACAACTGTAAGGTAAAGTGCAAACAGCTGCAAAAGTTAAAACAAAACACTCCAACATACATTTAAGCAGGGCCAGTAATTAGCCTACTTGTAGTAAAATTAAAAAAATAAACTGGGCTCAAGCCCTGCTCTAATTGAGCTCTACACGAAACTGGCTAGTAGCCATAACTTGATTATTACAGTCCATAAAGTAACAAACTAAGCTCAATCAGCCCTACTCATTCAAGTAACCAAATGTGCAAATTAAAACAAATGTCCAGTAAACAAAAAAGTGTCTTCTCATGAAGTGCAAAAACTTTAAGTGAAAGGAAACACGAAGGTTGACTGGGCTATGTGACAGGGTTCCTGCACTAGTTTTCACTCATCCTTGTGTGTGAGAGGTAGGTTTTTCTGAATGAAAATCAGAATTTCAGCATTATCGCTACAAACACGGTTCCGCCTCTCATCAATAACTTGGGTGACAGCACTGAAGAGCCGTTCGCTGTCAAAACTGGTGCATGGTGCAGTTAAGTACTTGCGTGCTACACAGGAAACAGCAGGGAAGCGGGTGTGGTTGAAACTCCAGTACTTAT